TTTCTTCCTTCCTTCAGAGGTGGAAGAAAGGGACCAGGTGACAGGTTGTTTGAGCATTTCATCATTTGGGCTGAGCCAACTGCAGTCAAGGGCAGACTCTCTCCCAGTGCTCTGTGTCAGGGAGGGATTTGGTCTGGCTTTGTGCATGTCCTGTGTCCGCTTCTTGGACTGATTTCTCTCTCTCTCTCAAAAGATTAATTTAAATTTATTTTTATTTTAGAGGTCACAACATTAGTCCCTGACTAATGCCAATAGTCAGGTGTGAGATGGGTCCAGGAGACAGATAATGCCATAGAACCAGAGGGAGGGAAGACACAAGGCCATCCATGTGCACAGGTTTTTCTTGCTTTATAAAAAAAAATTATGTGACAGAGAGAGAGAGAGAGAGAGAGAGAGAGAAAATATGAATGAATGAGAATATCTCCATGCAGTGGTTCACTCCCCAACTGGCTGCAATTTCAGGGACTGGGTCAGGCTGAAGCCAGGAGTCTGGAACTCCGTCTGTGTCTCCCATGTGGGTGGCTGGTGTCAAAGTACTTAGGCCATCTCCCACTGTTTCCCCAGGTACCTCAGTAGGAAGCTGGAGTGGAAGTGGAGCAGCAGGGATTTGAACCTGTGCTCTGATGTGGGAGGCTGGTGGGCCCCAGCCTTTTCTTTCTTAGAATGCTGTCAGCAATGGTGTAGGGGCACAATGGACTTTGCTGAACATTTTGGGGAGATACTGGTGGATAGTAGAGTAATACAACCTCGCGAGAAACAGTAGACGTCCCTGGTCTGAGGTGTTCTGGTTTTCCTGTTACTTGGAATTTCTTTCACACGGCAGTCAGCCGTCATGTTGCCTGGTCTTTGTTCTCATCTCCCAGCCTTCTCTCTTCTCTGCTTTCCTCACTTGCAACTTCCTCTCCATTTTGTATGTAGAATTGTTTAGCTTTTTGTTGTTGTTGTTTTTCCTTTACCGTGTTCCAATCTATGCCCTAAGATTCCCATCTTGCATTTATTATTTTTTTAAAGATTTATTTATTTTATTTGAAAGGCAGAGTTACAGAGAGGCAGAGAGAGAGAGAGAAAGTCTTTTGTCCACTGATTCACTCCCCAAATGGCCACAGTGGCTGGAGCTGTGCTGATCCACTGCCAGAAGCTTCCTCCAGGTCTTCCCATGCTGGTACATGGACGCAAGGACCTGGGCCATCTTCTACTGCTTTCCCCAGCCATAGCAGAGAGCTGGGTTGGAAGTGGAGCAGCCGGGACTCTAACCAGTGTCCATATGGGATGCTGGCACTGCAGGCAGAAACAGTGCTGGCCCCACATTTACTCTTTATTTGACCTATCAAGCTATTTTAATTTTCATTTTAAAAATTATATTCATTTTAATTTGTTTGAAAGACAGATGGATGGAGAGAGATGCTTCCATTCAGGGGTTCACTTCCCAAGTACCCACAGCAGCCAGGGCTGGTGTCAGGCGGTGGCTCAACCCGCCATGTCACGGCGCCAGCCCTTAAAGGTGTCTTTCGCATTCCTCACTGTCGCTCTCACTAGCTTTACTCTTTACAGAAACTCGGTCTTGTATATCTGTGTTTGATATCTCCTTCTCCCCACTAAAAGCTAAGCTCTGTCGGAGCAGGGGCTTTGTCCACTTCCTTCTCCCCACTAAAAGCTAAGCTCTGTTGGAGCAGGGGCTTTGTCCGCTGCGTCCTCAGTGTGGACAGAAAGGCCCAGCTCTCTGCAAAGGGGGAGAAAGCAGGAAGCGGTGAGAAGACAAGGGCACCAGGAGCGGCCACCCCAGCAGCTGGGCCTAAGCGTGAGCTGGTGGCCTTCAACCTTAATAAACGCGGCCAGGCGAGGCGTTATGGATTTTCACCACTAGGTGGCACTGCTCACCAACTTTCCTAACACTGATTTTTCGTAGAAGAGCTTTGCAGGAATTTTTTTTTAACTTTGTAGCCATCCTCCAGGAGCAGCTTAAGATGCCGACTCTGTGGTCCCTGCCCTGACGCCCTGACTTGCAGCCAGAAGGGGTTCAGCACAATGACTTTTTAAAAGAAGTTTGTTTATTTGAAAGGCACAGTTACAGAGAGGGAGACAGAGAGTGCGCCCATCTGCCGGTTCACTCCTCAACTGGCTACAACAGCCAGGGCTGCGCCAGGACAAAGCCAGGAGCCTGGAACTCCATCCAGGTCTCCCACATGGGAGGGGCCTAAGTGCTCGGGCCATCTTCTCTTGCTTTCTAAGGTGCATTAGCAGGGAACGGGATTGGAAGCAGAGCAGTTAGAACTCAAAGTGGTACTCCTGTGGGGTGCCAGCGCCGCATGCAGTGGCTTAACCCACTGTACCACAACACCAGTGCCAATCACGTTGGCTTCTAACCAGAACCCCAGCTGGGCTTTGTGTGAATTTCTTGAGTGGCCATTTAGTGTGGCCTGCCAGGTGCCAGAGCCTTGCGTGGGAGCAGGGTGAGTGAGAGGCCAGCCCCAGGGATGTGCCCTAGTCCTCACAGTGTGCGAGACGGCTGTGTGGAGTGGGGACATGTGCCCAGCCCCTGTGACTCCCAGGGAACTGTTTTCTGTGTCACCCAGAGTTACCTCCTCGCTTCCTTCCCTTCTTGTCCCCACGGCTTCCCCATGTTGCGTGTGTGGCCCTCACCCACCTGGGGCCACACCTTCCTCAGAGGGGCCCCACCCCCCAGTTATAGCCTTTACCTCCCATTCCTTCCCAGGCACTGGCCGTTCCGTTCCTCAAGGCTGACACGCTCATAGCTGCGTGGGGTAGATTTATGTGGTGAGGTCTTCCCTCTGGAGTGACCTGGGTTAGAAAACTCGTGTGTGTGTGTGTGTGTAAATCAGGCATCTTCCTATCTTGAACATACAAGGAATATCTATTTATAAAAACAACTGAATACAAGGCCAGCACTGCAGCATAGTGGGCAAAGCCACTTCCTGTGGTGCCGGTATCTGACATGGGTACCGGTTGTGTCCTGGCTGCTCCACTTCCAGTCCAGCTCTCTGCTAATGTGTCTGGAAAAGCAACTGATTCTGGAAAAGCAACAGAAGATGGCCCAGGTGCTTGGGCCCCTGCACCAGCATGGGAGATCCAGAAGAAGCTCCTGGCTTTGGTTGGCCTGACCCCGGATACTGTGACCACCTGGGGAGTGAACCAGCAGGTGGAAGATCTCTCTCTTTCCCTGACTTTCAAATAAATCAATAAATCTTTAAAAACAAAACAACTGAATACACATGAGGACTCTTGTCCTTCCTCCTTCCCATTCTAAACAAATAGGCGAGCTTTGTGTTAGGTGCTGGGTGTGGATCTGACCTTTATCAATGAACGCTCAGTTAAACATGTTTTCAGATTACCACCTAACCCTGAATTCCTCTGATGGACAGAAAAAAAAAAAAAAAAGACAATGCCACTCCTGTCCCAGCTTGCTGGAACCCTGTCCCTGAGCTTCCTGTTTGCAGTTCTTCCTGTCCTGGAGGGCTCTGGACGCTGGGTCACTGCCTTTGACCCCAGTGATGACTAAGGACTTTGAAACTGCCTTGGTGTATGGTCAGATGTCGTTCTAACCCTCATGTCCACACTGGCCTCTGCAAGCAACAATCCAGGCCTTCCTTAGTGATTTTGTCACTGCCAAGCTATGAGCCCTTGGACAGAGGAGTGTGACCATGCTTAGCTGTAACCCCTGAGCTGTGCTAGCAGGGAGGATAGCGAGAAATTCCTGGATCCAGGAAGGGGCCCACAGGCCAGGGAGGGCCTAAAGCAGGTAGTGCTGGGCTCCTAGGTGGGGACAAGGTCAGCCAGCATGTGGGACAGAGACCCTGCCCGGCCAACACAATTATCTTGGGCTCTTTGCACATGTTTTAGGAACAGCAGCCAAGGTCTGCTCACTCTGGCTAACATAAAGAAGAATGGGATACCCACGTGTCCATCCATGGATGGATGTGGGAGATAGAATACCACAGAGCGTGCCAGCGCTATGGCTCGCTTGGTTAATCCTCCACCTGCGGTGGCACATCCCATATGGGCACCGGGTTCTAGTCCCAGTTGCCCCTCTTCCAGGCCAGCTCTCTGCTGTGGCCCTGGAAGGCAGTGGCGCATGGCCCAAGTGCTTGGGCCCTGCACCCACATGGGAGACCAGGAGGAAGCTCCTGGCTTCAGATCGATGTAGCGCCAGCCGTAGCGGCCATTTTGGAGGTGAACCAATGGAAGGAAGACCTTTCTCTCTGTCTCTCTCTGTCTATAACTCTACCTGTCAAATAAAAAAATTAAAAATGGTTCGAATGGTGAATTTTTGTTGTATATGTTTTAACACGTCAGAACTGATGGACAAACGTTATTCCTGATATGCTAAATGGCCCTTCAGGATTTTAAGAAAACATTTATTAATTTATTAGAAGAGCAGAGGGATGGTGGGGAGAGATAGACTGATTGATTGATCGATTGATCTGGCCTGGCTGGCTGGGAACTGGGTCATTACTCAGAACAGCTGTTGAATTGGTATGTGGTGAGCAGTTGAAAGCAGAGCAAAGAGAGGGCTGTGCAGGCTGCTTTCCCGGGTAGGAAGAATGGGGCCGGCATCCCTTATCTGAGTGCCAGTTTGAATCCTGGCTACTCTGCTTCTGAGCCAGCTTCCTGCTGCTGTGCCTGGGAAGGCAGCAAAAAGATTGTGCAAGTCCTTGAGCCCCTGCCACCCATGTGAGAGACCTGGATGGAGTTCTTGGCTCCTGGCTTTGGCCCAGCCCAGCCCTGACTGTTGCAGCCATTTGAGGAGTGAACCAGCAGATGGAAAATCTCTCTCTTTCTCTGTCTCTCTCCCTCCTTGTGTTGCTCTGCCTTTCAAATAAATCAATGTTTAAGAAAAGAAAGAGGAATCTTCAAAATACTTGTATTTTGACCAGGCCTGCTTCTCTGAACATGTTCGCACTGGCTCAGACCACAAGGCTGGCTGCATTTGCACAGGGCTACCCCTCCTCCCCAAACCCCGGCTCCTACCTAGGCTGGGCCTTCTAATGGAAGAGGGGCTGGGGCTGGGGCTGTCCCCTCTCTGATCCGATGGTTTTAACCAGGGCTGGGGTTCTGGCAGGCAGCAGAGGTGGCCAGGGATCCTGGAGGTGCTCTTGGGCCCGGGTGTCTTCAGAGTTGGTGCAGACCTCCAGGTTTTTATGTTGACAAACTGTGGAGGCGGAGTTTGTGGTCTTGCTGCTGAGTAGGCTGAGGTCTAGGCCACGGCTCCCACCTCTGGCTCCTGCGGGGCTGCCTCATGTCCTTTACAGCAGCCTCCCTCCTTCCCTGGCCTCCAGCCCTCCCCAGCCCTTCTCATAGGCCCTCCCCCACCGTCAGCCGCTACTCCATAGCTCTAGAGTGGAGACGTCTTGGTCCCACTCCCCCTGTTCCTGCCCCAGCCTCCCCTTTCCTCTTACACACACCTGCAAGTGCTCATATGACCACTGGCAAGTGGCAGCTGAGGGCCCTTCTGGATCCTGGCACCAGTTTCCCCGGCAATGCTTTCTCATGGAACTTCAGGCATCAGTGGGGTGGATAGTCTACCCCGTCAGGAATTTTTGCAATCATCACATTGGATGATGGGGAGCAGGGAGGCAGACCATGGCTGCCTACCTCCATCTCCTGTCAATCACGCTCCTTGCATTAGCAAGGACTGCTGCTGGTGTGATGGGGAATAGGGGAAGTGAGAAAGAGAAACTCCTGCGGACACACACGTGGAGCCGTCAGCCTCTGAACAGCGCTCAGGGACTCATTTGCTGATGCACCAGGAGGCAGCTGCCTTGCCCTTTGTGTCCTCATGACTTGGTTTCACAGTGTGTGTGGAATTCGTGTTACATAGTGGGCTCTGTGGGACAAACTCGAGGAAGACGCACCCAGGGCCCTGGAGTGGCTCACACACTAGTCCAGGTGTACAGGGAAGGTGACCATGGGAAGAGAGCCAGGCTAGAAGAGCCTTTGGCACAGGTGCAATGGAAGCAGAATGAGGTGCACCTAGCCCAGCCCTAGTGGGGGAGGAAGTCCTGTTGGGTTCTGAAAGGCTGAGCAGGGTCTCAGCAGACAAAGGGGTTGGAGGCCTGGCGGCGAGGGGAGTGCCGAATGTCTAAGGAGTGTGGAGCGGTTTGGGGAGCAGGGATGCAAGGTGACAAGGAGGGAGAGAGGGGGGAGGGCCAGGCCACCCCCACAGAGCTGTGTGTGGGTGGTTGGGTTGGAGAGGGGTCTGGCCTCTTTTCTAGAGGTCCCAAGGGGAGGGTAAGGTGGTGGACCTATGAGGAAGAAATGTATGCGTTAGACTTCGAGGTCAGACAGCCTGAGTGTGGATCCTGTCTGGATGATTAGAATTGTGGGTGGATTTCTTAATCCCATTCATTTCATGTGTGAAGAGATCTAGGGTCACGGTGAGGAGGAGAGGGGAAGCTGGTGGGGGAGCCCTGGGCTCAGAGTGTGGCACGAGGAAGGCTCAGCCGGGGCTGGTTATGATCACAAACCAACAGGGACGCTGCACACTCTGCCCTGGAAATAGCTGCTGCTTCCCCTTCTCTCTGCTGCATGCAGGAGCTGGCCCTGATTGGTTGTTGTTGCTGCATTTTCTGGATGCAGTTGAGGGTATATGGGAGGCCAGACCAGAGACCTCCTGGAGCCCCCTACACTCTAGGGGTACAAATCTCTTTGTAGGCAGACCCTATCTCCAGCTTGGGATATCTGCAGAGCAGTGTCAGGCTGACCCACGCTCTCTCTTCCTGGAAGCCTAAGTCCCTTGTATGGGCCTGACTTTTCCACGGGGTGCTTCTGCCCCCTTCACCCACCACATGCACATGGTCCCCATGCCCACCCCAGGTTTGCAAAGCAAAGTTTATAAAGGTCAAGGTTGTTCTGAGAGTCTGTGGGCAGATTACATGGTGCACTTGGCCCTTGCTCCCTGGAGTGTTTGCACATGCAGAGCCAGGCCAGACTCAATGCCTAGGGTAGCTTAAAGGGCAAAAAGAGGGCTAGGGCAGGCCAGGGTGGGTTTGTGAAAGGACCAAGTCTCTTGGCACCTCCCTAGGTACTTGGTCCTCATAGTTGTTGGTAGAGAATGAGGATAGAATCAGCCCTGTTCTCCACCTCCCTGCCCCTACCTCCTCTCTGGAACCTGTCCATGTCTTTCCTTGTTCTGGAGACTTCACTCAGCCTCCATCTGGGATGGGGAACAGGACCACAGGTGCCCGGATGGCTTACTTGGGCCAAGCTTCCTGTCACTGCCAGCCCCGGAAGGATCTGAGCCAAGCATAGTTCTGCTTGCAGAGGGGAGAACTTGGGGACAGCAGCTGTGCGTGAAGGTGGGGGAGACCCCAGGGCCATGAGGCCAGAACCTGAAAGCCTTCCTGGTGTCAGCTCTCTGCCACCTGCCCATTCTGCTTTCTGAGGCCTGCCCTGCAGGGACAAGCCGGCTCACTTGGCTGGCTGCAAAAAGGAGGAGGACGAGGAGGCAGAGGGCAGCCACGGAGACCTTCATTCTCCTGGAGGGCCAGAGCAGTGTCAGGGAGAGCGGAGCAGGGCTCTGCTGAGCTGCCCTCCAGCTGTGGACTGTGGCCGCTTCAAGGGTTGGCTGAGAGGGAGGGTGGCACAGGATGGGGCCTGGTGCAGAGCTGAATAAGCTTTGAATTCATGTGAAAGAATGAATTGGAGGGGCTGGCGCTGTGGTGCAGTGGGTTAACATCCTGGCCTGAAGCACTGGCATCCCATATGGGTGCTGGTTCGAGTCCCGGCTGCTCCACTTCAAATCCAGCTCTCTGCTATGGCCTGGGAGAATGGTCCAAGTAGAGAATGGCCTAAGTCCTTGGGCCCCTGCACCCACGTGGGAGACCCAAGAGAAGCTCCTGGCTCCTGGCTTTGGATCAGTGCTACTCCGGCTGTTGCAGCCATCTGGGGAGTGAACCAGCAGATGGAAGACCTCTCCTTCTCTCTCTCTCTTTCTAACTCTGACTTTCGAATAAATAAATAAATCTTAAAAAAAAAAAAAAAAGAATGAATCGGAGAAGGAATGGCTGGTGAATGTACTGGTCACCTTGCACTCTTGAACTTTCTACCAATTTTTAAAAAAGGCTTATTTTACTTATTTGAAAGGCACAGTGATGTGAGGGAAGGGAAGGGAGGGAGGGAGAGAGATCGAGATATCAAGATCTTTCATCCACTGGTTCACCCCCAAAAATGACCGCAATGGCTGGGGCTGGTCCAAGCTGAAGCCAGGAGCCTAGAACTCCATCCAAGTCTCCCATGTGTGTGGCAGGGTCCCAAATACTTGGGCCATCTCCTGCTGCTTTCCTAGGCACATTAGCAGAGAGCTGGATTGGAAGTGAAGCAGCTAGGACTTGAACTGGTGCTGCTATGGGATGCTGGCATCAAAAATGGTGGTTTAACCCACTATGCCACAATGCAGGCTCCTGAAGTAGCAGTGTTTGCTTCATTGAGGCCCTAGAGGCTTTGAGAGGTTTCCATATGCTGTCTGGGGTCCCATGCATAGGAGGCAGATCTCCAAACACCAGATCTGTTTGCGCCATGTTAGCAGCCCCCACCTCTGTGCCGAGGAGGGGAGGAGAAGGGTCTGATGCCCCAGTTTCCCCTGGATGACTGGTCTTTGGGAGGGGAGCACAAAGCAGGATTAGCGAGCACAGACTGAGGCAAGACTAGGGTCTGGGGGGGCCTGCAAAGGGCGCCTCCCAAGTCCAAGGCCTCACGTTTGAGCCCTCACTCTCTCCTGACACAGGTTATGCTGCTGACACTCCCACAGAGCAACAAGTCTGATGCTTGGGTCCCGGTCTGTTGCTGAGGGGCTTGGTTGGTGTTGCTATTTGGACCTGGGCTCTGGGTAACCACATTGCAGGTTTATGCAACCTGCCTTGATGGCCAGTCGTGACCAGGAGAGGGCGCTCTCTCTGCGTATCTCACCATCTGCTTCCGTAGTCCTGAGTCCCAGCTTCTGCCCTCCAGGCTCTTGCTGGATCTGCCCTACAGGACCTGGTAAAAGCTGAAGGCTGCATTCAGAGGAGAGACGGAAGATGGAGTTTTTACTGTTGATGGGCCATGAGCTTCCTAGGCATAGAGGAAGTGGTCTAGTGGTTGAGAGCAGAGGGAGGCTGGGGCAGAACAGGGAACGTGCAGTTGCTCTGGGCTTGCTGCTCAGTGTGACTTCCCGCTCATGAATGGGTACCCATGTAGTGCAATTGCACCTGGTGGTGCTGGTGAAGTTATCACTTTTTGTGATAGGGAGGGTACACGTGTGGGGCACCTCCTAGACCTCTGTTTATGGAAGGGGAGACAGGAGGAGGTCTGGTTATACCTGTGACATACAGGCCCCATCTTGGCCCTTGCTGTGGCATTGGCTATGGAAGGCTGAAGGCTAGGAAAGGGTGGTCACAGTCCCTAGCTCTTCCTAGAGACTAGGAGATGGTGTCAGAACCTGTTCTGAAAAATGCCTTCTGTTTATTCCTGTCTCCTTCCTCCCTTCTTTCTTTCCTCCCTCCCTTCTTCCATTCCCTTTTCTTTCCTTCCATCCACCCAATCATCCATCTATCCACCCAATCATCCATCCATCCATCCATCCATCCATCCATCCATCCATCTTTTCCTCAACATGTGGTAGGAGCAGACAATGGAGTCCAGTCTGGTGTGTGTAAATGGAGGGGAAGGATGCGATAAAATGTGTCCATGAGGCATTCCTATCTTAGCAGTGAAGAAAGGCCTTGGTGGAATCACAGAACAAAGGACTATGGGGCTTGAGTGCTATGCAGAGCCTTTATGAAGATTCCCTGTAAAGTCGCATGGCAGTTCTTAGCTTTGGCTCTTGCTGTGCAGCTTAAACAAGATAATGCTCAAAGATCGCTTAGCAGAGCGATGGGAAGGTCTTCAGCACTAAGAAAATGGGACCAGCGCTGTTGCTGAGTTAGTGGCCTTGTGTTGACTTTCTTTCCCGTTTTTGGCTCAGCTTCCCAATGCCCCCATCACAGGCCAGACTTGTTTTTTGCCCTAGGCTCTGGCAGAACTGCAGAGCAAGGCCTGACGCTGAGGGTGCCACACCCTCCCAGGCTGGGCTCACTGCCACTCTCAGTCCACTACCAATGGGGAAATTCACAGAGATGAACAAAGCAGAGAAGGGCATAAATGGTCTTTAATTCAAGGCAGGGAAACTCCCGGGGGTGGCTGAGGCCAAAGGCTGGGGGTACAGAGGGGCCCTGGCCTCCTCTCCTTGGGTCTCTGAGCTGTGCCTTTGCCACCTATCTGGATCACTCACTTCTCCAGGTCCCTGATGTAGTCCTGGACCCAGTCATCCCGGGGGTTGGCGCAGATTGAGTAGCCCTTTTTGGTGATGAAGCTGTGGAAGGAGAGAGACAAGGCTGACATGTTGGGGGCCCAACTCGTCCTCCTCCCTCCCAGACACATCACCTGATCTGGCTGCTTCTCCTGCCTTTGTTAGAGGCAGCTCAGGGCCAGGCACCTCTCTGAGACATGCTGTTCCCCCCAGGGTCCCTGGATTTGCCTAGTCTCCAGATCTCCCAGCCCGAAGGGCCTTCTGCTCCCTTCCTGTGACACTTCCCCAGCCAGGGGGGCTTCCACATTCTCCCCGCAGGCCCCAGCCAGAAAGC